GTCGTGCTGTCGTCGTCGGTGTGAAATTAAACGGGCGCGAGCGTTACAGCACAGGGTGTCATTGTCAAGAAAATTTCAACATGAACTTTGTTTCCAGCACACGCTTTACATGTACAATTTAGTGGATGTTTTTTAGCGGATGCACGAATTTGAGATCGTTTGAAAATGTTACAATTTCGTCGCTGTTATGCAACCGAAAATGTGTTCGGGTATCGCGAAATTTTCCACGCTCGCCAAGGAAAGCGGCGTTCGTGATTACGTAACCGAAAAATAACATATCGTCGGTGCAATCAGTTTGGAACCGATTAGGTTGCGTCGTGTTGCGTCGATCGCGCGAAGAAAGGGATCGTGCACCATTATCGCCAAAATAATTCGGCAGTTGTTGCCTCGAAACTCCACGCTTTCCGACGAACACGTACGGTCCATGATTGTTCAGTGATAGAGACGTCAAATGCGTGATGCCTGCCAACTGTGTAAAATTAACGTTCTTCAATTAACGCGTCGAACAGATCTCGAAGAATATACAGTGGCCCACAAAAGTGTTCGTACACCTTTTAAAACGCAATAATATTTTTAAAACTGGACTAAGGGACTTAAATTTTTTTTAGGTAATAGCGGGACTAGTCTACCAGACGATGATCAAAATTCTTTTTTTTAAATTTTGCTATTATTTGGAATAACAAAAAAAATAGTAAAAAGAACGAGAGTTTTAACTTTTTTTATTTGAGCATATAACAAAAATTTCAAAATGCCTCTCGTAGATCTCGATAACTTACATGCGGGTTGAAAATATTATCGAAATCGGTTAACCCAGAGTCGAGCTATAAGCGTTGAAAGATTTAAGAAGCTGCAGATTTCTTTCAGTTTTTGGTCTGAATCGTGATAAAACTGTGATTTTTGCCATCTTTAATTTGTTATAACTCATAACAACGTCAACTGATTTCGATAAAATTTTCAGCACGGCATTTTAAAATTTTTTGTTATAGGCTCAGATAAAAAAGTTAAAAACGAGAGTTTTTTTTTATTTTTGTTGTCATTCCAAGTAATAGCAAAATTAAAAAAAAGTATTAAATTACTAAAAAAAATTCAAGCCCCTTAGTCCAGTTTTAAAAAAATAATTGCGTTTTAAAAGGTGTACGAACACTTTTGTGGGCCACTGTATAATTCATCGTACTAACTTAATGGATAACTTTCTTGTATCTCATAAATTCGAACAATGGTTCACTGAACGAATTCTTGTATAAATTAATTTTGAAACAGTGGGTTATATATATATGTCAGATTATAACATAAAATATCAACTTTTTGCACTCGAATGACGACTCTGCGATGCTACCAAAAGTTATCATAGTATATAATTCGAAACAAGATTTACGTTACTTGTTCGCTTTTAATAAATTGCTAAAAATGTAACTGTGATGTGAATAAATACACTCACTTTTTTATTTGTTTCGTGTGTGAGATATACCGAATTGGATGAAATTTTGGATTCAATGAAATTTGTGGGTTTTCAAGCCAAAATGGCTTCGAGTGCAAAGGGTTAATGATCATTATTGTACGAATTGCAGGAAATCTACGTATTATTGATAAAATATTAAGAGACTCTAACAAGATATATAAGAAAAGTAAATTTTCTTAGTCAGAAAACGTATCCTCAAAGTGGATCGCGAGGAATTTTTTAAAACCTTGAATTTACAAGGATTTAAAACGATTTGAAATTTTTTTGATTTTGTATACGACTGTAATTCGACAGCATAGCGTATTTCTTGACAGCTTGAATCAAAGTTCTATTAAGTTATTTTGTTATATAATAAGAAATTGTTGTTTTCGCAAGTTCATCTTTCTGTACCTAGTTATAATAAACATGTGAGCATAACGAAATTTACCTAACGCTTGCATCGAACAAAGGCTATTGTTTTGCAAAAAAGAAAAAAAAAACTTCGTTTTCATTTCGACCTTCAAACGTGATAATATTACATGGTAGAACCTAACAAAAAAATGATAAGCAGCTTTGCTTGTAGTATCTGTTATACAATTTGAAATAATTACATCTTGCAGCTGGTAGTCGACTAATTTATGCATCATTTATGTGATACAATGAATTACAAAGTAGCAGAATTGCTTGTTAACGGGAATCGTCGACGATGTGGTAACATTATCGATTACAATTTTGTAATGACCATCTTCCCCTGCTCGGAAAAACACATTTCACTTGACTTTTTCCTTGCGCAATGATCATTAACTACCAACGACTTCTTCTTGCGTTCCGTCGCGCGCCTCATAATCGCAAATTAGAGTCGGGAGTCGAAGATCCTAGGGATCGGCGAGCGAAAAAATCTTAGCAATCTATTCACCGTAATTTATAACTTGATAAAATTTCTGTGCATTGAGCTAGTAATTACTAGTACCTGTCATTAGTCCGCTAATGAATAAAACTCTGACATTTTTTGTCTTAATGCCCGCAATTTAAGAATTTTTTTTCAAACGATACTTATATGAATGCTGGCTAAATAATATGTCAAAAATAATTCTCGAAAATATTGACATTCTCAAAGTATCGGGATTTTCGAAAATCATATCATAAAATTTGGAAAATGGAGTGAAAATAACGCATCTAATATATCAGTAATAAATGATTCATTTACTAATTAAAAGTTACTGTTAATTTTTATTTTAATTCCCGAAAACAAAATACTTTCGAGAATCCCGAACATTTTCTCGACGTAATCAAGAATCCCTAAATGAACGGGAACCCCATCCGATTTTGATAAACATTCTCGACCTCTACCGACTCGCCATTTTCGAGTTCTCACGTGCCTCAGGGGATTCAGAGATGTCAGAAATAAGTTAAAAAGGTCAACCGAAGTTAATGAATACATTAATACGAGTATCACTTTCCCATTGTGCAATTATTAGAGACCACCGGAATTCCAATATGAAACGATTTACGGCGATTGCTACTTGCCCGAGATATTTCCATCGTGGTTTATATCTTTTCCAAAAGGTAGCTATAAAGCATAATTCGTGAAATGTTTATTTTGTATTGATTCTGATTCCATTCGAAATTTGATCCTCCATTACTCTACCTCCACGGAATGATTATTGCAATATCAGTGTGGATCGACAAATATTCAAGCTCACTCGAATTACAGTCTAAAATTGCAGCGAACCTTATCAGCGTTCATTATCTTCGCACGAGTAACTTATCCAGTATTCAACTGTGAAAAATGTTTGATACCGTAGCCACCATTATCTGGCTAACTCTAGGTCAATGAATAGAAAAATGAGTAATCACCGGTAGATATAGAGGAGCACCGATGCACGAGTCAGCTCGTGGGAAGCGTCGCAACCGTCGTCCTTGTAATAACAGAAAGTAGAAGAGACTTCGCGGCTGTTACTTGTTCATTAGTGTCATAGCAATCGCACTTTTCCTAAAAATCGTGCGAGAGCCGTTTTCGCTCGGTTCACCTTGGACGCCTGAGAAAAACTAGCATTGATAGTTGGAGTACAATAGTCTGATAAGAAGATGATGTCAGCCCGTATCAAACCAGAAGTGAACGATCAAAGACCATTATCACGGTTGCAGGGGAACGGTTAAACGATTATCTTACAAAGACAAGAAGATAGAGAGGAGGACGTAGAAGTAGAAGAAGAGGGCGAACGAGCGGAGGAGGATACTTTTGACGGAAGAAGAGAAGAGAGACAAAATAAATTAAACTATTTAGCAAATGTCTAATAACGAGAAGAAGTGAGAAAAAGAAGAAGATCGAGAAGGAGAAAAGAACATTCTTGACGAAGAGAAAAGAGCGAACAGCTCGTAGGCGGACACAAAATGACAGACGTTGCAAATGATCCACCGATTCATATAAATCTTAACAGTCCAAGATCATAGCTAAATGCTAACCCTTCGATTCGAAACAGTGACAGCTTCAAACCCCGTTACTATATTTTAGTGTGACTATTTCTCACTACTTTCCTTCAGTCTCGATAAGTAAATTGTGAGTCGATGAAGAACTTAGGAAGAAGTACCTTAATCACTGGAAGACCCGGTCCAGAGGCGCGCAGATCTATCCTAGCGAAATGATGCACGATCTCATCGACACGACAGCGGCTCATTCACCGATTTATTCACTGATTGTTAACGATCGATCACTTATCTCCCACATCTCTATCACTATATATCTTCACCAGGTTACTGCTCGGAATTACTGAAACCGACGGAGACGTCGCACTGCCACCTTCGGTTGCCATTCGGCGAGCTTCAGCCAGTGATACCCTAACGACGAAGACCTTCGAGTATCTTTCCGAGCACAGCACACCACAGATAAAGAATCGATGACTTTAATCAACAGAAGCATAAGAAACACGAATCATCGCGTCACCAAGGATCAAACACATCCAACTTCTAACCGAAACCATGGAAGGATTTTCCAGGAAGGCGCATTCGTTCCGTCAGGAAAAGACCGGGTCCGGGTTCACCGTGCGAACCCTCTCTTCGTCGAACGCACCCAAACAAACAGAACGATAAACGAATCTATTTCAACATCTTATCTAGGATCGGGTAACCTACCAGCACTCATCCAGCACAGTGCACGAGGTATGGTTAGAGTTACGAGCAACAATGCTCGAACACTTATCATCGCCTGCTGACAGCACTAACACGAGAGTGTTCCGAAACGAAACGAACGTTGCGTTCCGTGCGTGAACACTCATCACTCAACACTGCAACACGGAGTGGCGGTCGAACCGAACAACCTTATCACTGATCTTTAGGACGGGGTCGACTTTGCTCCGGTCCTGGTCCTAAGTTGGCCCACGGGACCGACACTGGTCACTGTCGCGCAACTTTCGGCACTGGCACATAAACGTTATGAAGCCGACTCGTTCGCAAGTAAGCGTAGGTCGTCGAGTGGTCGGGTGCGACCGGTTGCAACCACGTGGTCGTGCGAATCAAGAACCGTTTCACCCTTCACGGGGGCGGAACGGGTCCCCGTGCTTACCGAGAAGCGCGTACATCCACGTCGCCGGCGACGACGAAGAAGCGGCGGCATCCTCGCGGAGCGCGGAAGGCCTGTCGCCTTCCCTCCTCTCGGCGGATGCCCTCGTGCCTCGAGGGCGCCCGTTCGACGACGACGAGGTCGTGCCGCCCGCGGCTCACCGAGCCGGGTATCGCGAGAGAGCTGGTGGCGGCGGGCACGTGTGCTGTGTGCTGCACCGACGAGGAGAAGAGGAAGAAGAAACCGGCGGCGAGTCGCGGACGGGCGGTCGGACGGTCGGGCGGTCGAGCGGAAACGCGATACACGTAAGAGCAACGCGTCCGGCAACCTTCGCGATCGTTTACCGTGCCGCTACTGTCCGTGCGAGAGTAATGGTGGTGGTAACGAGCCACTTCGGCTCTCAGCTCGCGCGCACTCTTCACCTGAACGGCCAACGAACACCGAGTGGGGGTGGTTGGTGGCGGTGGCGGTGGCGGTGGCGGATCGCCAGCGGTGGTGGCGATGATACTGGTGGAGGAACACCAGTCGAGTCCCTTGAAGCACAGGTGAACCACAGGCTGGACCCCATGTCCGCTCGACCCCTGCGCTTCGTTAAATTTACAGCGATTCGATAGCCAGCATGTCAATTTAACACTAGGTTCACGGAATATTAAAAGCAGTTATTTTATAGGGTAGATGAGCTAATTACTGTGCCTTTAGTTTATTTTCAAACGTAATTAACTTTATATTTCTCGTGTAAGACCTATTAAATTCTGTTATATAAATTCAACTAATTATTTGTTCGTTGAAATTTGACGTGTAAAAGACGAAAGTTCTTAAAATGCAACAACAATTATTTGAATTGTCTGATACCGAGTTCACGAAATTTACTGTACAGCTTACGAAAAAGTTTACGAAAGTACTGAACGAAAGAAAAATCGTCCTAATTAAGATATCAAAATGTGAATTGTATCGCTGAATTGTATTGAGGAAAGAGAAACAGGACAGTGATTATTTATTTGAATTTTTCTTTTTAGTTCCAACTTCTCAGTAGTTTACTCACTGGGCACTGTAACTAGATCTATCCTTCGCTGAATGCGTTAATTACTGTACCACGGGATAGGGCTACATAATATGATAAGATATGAAATGGCAGATGTTTGGTAAACAAGTAGTACCGGATGTTTCCTTGAATGCAACTGTATACATTTATTACTGATATGTAATAGGTAAGATTACGATGCCTTCAACGATCGATTATTGTCTATGGAATTCGAAGTTGTAGATGAAAGTCGCACAAAACTGCACCCTTTCTCGGATAATAATACAACTCTTTTATTTTGAATTATCCGATACAATTTTTCCATGGTAGTTACCATTTTAATTACATCTACGATCATGTATTTTCGATTATAAGTAACCCCAAGGCGCCGCAACAAATTTGTGATATTTCATTTTCTACGAAAAATGCTCTCTTTCCTATCATTGCATTTTTAGGATCTATGTATAGACTTCGCTGTATGTGTGTCAATAAATTACCAAACTCATCTCGCAATAATTGGATAGGTAAGTCGAAAAATTAATCATATTCTTATTATGGTTTTATTAATGAAATAAAGCCGATTATCTCAAAGCACAATTTCACCAGAAACATCCCTCAGTTGTAAGGTCCCTTCAATTGTAAGGTCGGACATATATGACGTTGAGAAATATTGTACTTCTACATCATATATTCTTTATGACTCGAAATTCTTTTGTAGTATTACACATGTCTTTGCATTCCTATCGAATTATAATCCAGTGTAACAATTATACAAAATTACAGCAGCATCTATGACGAATAATACAACAGTCACCTAGCAGCTCTACTCAGAAAAGTAATCGAAATCAAGGAATCGACGAGTACACGTGTCGCGGATCAAGTTTCGACTAGTTCTACGGCGAGGAGGAAGCGTTGAGCGCTCATTGGCCAACTCGTCAGCCTTCCCAAGGGGTTAGACCTGCGTACAATTGTCTCGGCACCGTTGACGCCGTGCATCGCGTAGGTGTAGGGCGGATTTAGTCACTCCCACTTCCGTCGCCGATAGAAAACCACGTGGTCCGCTCCCTCGTGTCGCGCTTGTCCCGCTATTATGCGGCCAATTTTTTCCACCTTTTTTCCTATTTCCATCCTTCTGAAATGTGTATCGTTTATTAACACCTCAATGACCGATATTTTTGAAAGCTTCACAGTCAATTGTACTCCGGACATTTGCACGTTTGCCGATGTCACTGGAAGGCCTTGCAAATAGGTTCGCTGATTGGTATGTTTAAATAAAATGAGCTAATGGAAACAGTTCATGAAATACTCTGGTTTGTATGAAAAAATATTTTAAGATTTATTTACCATCATAGAGATAAGTACATGTATTGAAAATAGTTATTTATATTGTGGTAATTATTAATTGAAGTAGTATTTTGTTACAATGTACTGGAAATAATTGTTTATATAAAATAGTATTTCTGTGTGTCTATATTTATATTGAAATTCTATATCTTATTTGAAAAAAATTCTATTTCTTACAATTATTATTTACAAGAGAATATGGGCTAATAGAAAAAGTACAAACACATATTTTTTTTTAAAAATAAACTTTTTCTTACACTCATCGTAATTAATTAATGTAAATGGAGTATTTGTTGACCAGTTGCTTGGTCGGCAAAAATTTCATAGAAATAATATTCAAGTGTTTCGTTTCCTCTTATTTAATCATGTCTAAACATTCGAGTGCAATTGTGATAACAGTACTAGGAATGAATTCGAACGAATCAGAATCTACGCACTACGCGTTGCGCTCGGTATCGTGACATCGATGTTTCCTAATTCCAAGAGTGCTATCGCTGATACGACGGTAATCGACTTGCACGAGAGATTAATTTCCTTGTCGTCGAGGCCTATCTTTGCTAATTTTGAAGTTACCAACTACTTCTTGAGCGATTAAGTAGCTCTCTTAAAAGACGTTTTCTTAATGCGACTATAAAAGCTGCTTCCTTTTTATAAGAATACTTATCTAATCGTTCCTGTTAATTATTGTAGGATTGTGTTTACTTTTGTTTTACTCTTTGTTTAGAATAAACGGCTTCGATCCAATAATAAGCGAAGTAAAAAGTAAAATAATTTATTATATTATATAAATTATACCATAGTTCTTTTGTAATTTTTACTAACACGAATGATGAACTAGTTTAAAACAGGAGACCACTTTTTAGAGTAACAAAAACTTTATAAGATAATGCTTAATATATTTTCTTCACCAACCTTCATCCTGCTATTGTCAATGTCATGGCAGTGTGTTAACAATCAAATATACTACTCAACAAATTGTTGCATAGAAAAATTTTAGATAAAGATTATCCAAACTTGACCGACGTTAACTTCGCGAAACATCATCGTAGGATAATGCCTTTTTTCTTAAATAAGAGCTTCGAACCTTTACTTTAAGACACTGTTTCTGGATTTTAAGTTCGATGCACCGTTACCACTGTAACCCTACAAAATTCAACTCATACAAGGTTTATTTTAAGGTGATGTAACTTTGCGAAAAAAATCTTGGCCACGTTTCTCCTTTTCTGTTTAATAAATTTCCGACAAAAAATATTACAAAAACTGTGCATTTGATCAAACTTGACAATTTTCAATATGAAAAACATGGCCTTACATTTAGAGGGTCACAACGGTGAGGATGCATCGAACTTAAAATCCAGAAACAATATCTTAAAGTAGGTGTTTCAAGCTTTAATTTGAAAAATATGAACATTATCCTACGATATGCAGAGTTATCGTCAGACGAAATTGGTCAATTTTTATCCAAAATGTTTCTATGCTCTAATTTTTTTTAGCAATGTATATTAGCTCCCATTTCCTCGTTTATGTCGGTATACGCTCGTGAATCGTGTCAATCGAGTATATAAAGTGACATAATACGGATCGTTAGAAAAAAGAAGGTGAAAAGAAGCACCCACGACTCTGTCAGCTCGAATTCGTACGGGACTGGGAATGGGAACAATAAGCCATTCGCCCCTAACCGTTTCTTCCCCTTCGAGCACATGGCGTCCCTAGGAAGCTTTGAATGAGGTAGTTCAAGGGTTGCATGCAGGCTCCATTTTTCGAACGTGGTATTAAATCGAATATGATACTGGAAGTAATCATGATGAAATTGTTTAACTGGTTTAAAGAGATCGAAAAAATTAATACAACGGAAAGTGCCAAGCTTCAGATTGGAAACACAATAATGAAAAAATTGCCTTCCGACTTTTTCGTCGTAATTGTGGCCAACGAAGCTTGATTCTTAATAATTTATTATCGGAATAGGGATTTATTATCGGATCGGCATATGATCGGTATAAGCTCATGTCTAGTCTCGCGGTTAAGCATTGATAACAGAGAAATAATAGATAGATTAATCTCTAAATTAAACTATCTTCAACGCAAGATTTCTTTGAATATGATTTAATATTCTTTTAATAAAAAATAAAAACTATCTCAACACCTATATCAGAGACCAGTTTCACACGTGACGAATCTTTCTTCGAATCCAGGAACTTGATTACTTGGAAGGTACGCGTTTCAAGGGAAATTGTTCTCGCGGCATCCAGAACCCGAAGCCAGCAAAGTGCGAATTGTTCGGGACTCGACAGGGGTTAATACGCGTCGTGTGTGTACGAGATTCGATAAAGAAACGAGGAAACGCTTTATTCATGGAGCATACGAAATTTCACGCAGTTTCCTTCGAGTAATAACAAAATATTCGGTTGCCTCGAACCGATAGTAAAATCTGATACAGATAGTTCACGTTAAACTGTTATAATATTAACCCTTTGCGCTCGGATGTCCTTCTCAGGAACATAACAAGACCGCTGATAATTATGGTACTCCCAAAATTAACAAATTTGATCTGGTAAAGTCTATATTAATGCAATCTTCTACCGTATTTAAACAGCCTAATTATTTCGAACGTTCTATCATTTTATATTTTCTTTGAAGTATTACCAACTAGGAAATTCTCCGAGTGCAAAGGCTTAAAAACGGCACAATAAAAGATCAAAACCGCGGTGACGTCGGTCGAGACGAGTTAAAAGCAGAATCATATTTAACAACGCGTACATCGGATGATGAACAGTTTACTTGTGAATATTTATTTCTTCTTTTATGGAATGAAGTCGAGAAAACTTTTTAATGAACCTAATACAAGGACTTTGCTACGTATATTCAAGATAGACTCTATAGAAGACCACTGGATGAAAAAGATGTTTGAGAACATCTCGTATTGTCTCTGTAAACACGACGAGGCCGATCGACAATATATACGAGACTGCAAGGATGTTTTATGAAAAAAGTTCCCTCAGCCAGTATCGATACTTAACAACTACTTAAATGTGTTTTGAATCGTACCTTGCCTGCAGATATTGAAACGATTAGTAATTTTAGGAGGTAACCTATTTGAAATACTATTTTATTCGAATCGTGAAGAATCTATTACTTAAAGTAGCGTTTCAAATATTTTCTCTATAAATATTACTCAGCACTGCTGATGGTGGCAGAGATCAACTGCAGGTTATATCGAGATTAAGAATGGGACTGAAATAGAATGGTCATCGGACGATCGGCATAGGTTCTAGCGACGTAGGCTTCGGAGCGGTTGGCCGCATGTTACTGCTACACAAAGTCGCTTATAGCTTGCTAAACGGCTCTATTCTATGAATACACAGATTCTAGGGTATAGCATTAATTAGCGTTAATCACGCGCGAGTTAATCCTATTCCCAACGGAACGCTATAATTGTTCTCTCATCGGTGCAATCCGTAACCCCCTCTCCTCTCCCAGCGATACGTGATCGACGTCGATCGTTTGAAGTGACCACAGGAGAGGTCTTTCGCGATTCGTCCCCCTAAATCCCTGTCTCTCCGATACTCATTAGTAGTGATTTTTCGGTAACCGGAGGATCAGGCTGCTTCGATTAATTTACTGTGATTTCGCACTCTGCCCTCCTTTTAACTGTACCTCGCCCCTTCTCTATCTCCGCAACGCAGCTTATCCAATTATTTATTACGAGAACGAAATATTTGTGACCCTTGACTTCTGTTAGCGGATCCTCGTGGATCGATGAAAATGTTTCGAATGCCGATTAGTGGATCCGATCGATTGGAATAGATCATGGAGTTTATACCATATAAATATGTATAACGTTGGCTATAGACGTCGAGGATCGATTCATTTATTGGACTATTCCAGATTTCTTTCTCCCTGTGTTGATTGGTAAGATAACACTGGTCAACTTCCCGTAACATAACACTGCCACACGTAATAACCCTCTAGCCCCTAATTCTCCCCTCATGTAACGAGTAAACCTCGAAAAAGGAAATTCGTATTATCGATTACACGGCTAACTAAATTGGAATGAAAAGATAGTATTGATAAATCCTTAAAGACAGGCCTGCGCATGGCATTTTCGACAATTAAATAGTTGAAAGAGAAGAGGAAAAAATAATCCTTTAAATCGATTTATTACGAGATCAAATATTTATCAGTTTGAGAAGGCGCATCAAACGGTTTATTTATTTACTTTGAATTAGCCTAATCCCTTTAAATCGTTCCTAAAAGCTTGATAGTCAAATAAATTAGATAACGAGATGGTCAATTTTTCACTTACCCTCAAATCTACTTCGAGCAGTACTACCTGTCCCGTCATTTGGAGCCATGGCCCATTTGTCTGTGAATAAAACATGCAAATTGTTAAACGTACGTGCAATGTATTTATAAAGTCAATAATGATTATTTACTGAGCAGAGACTGAATACTACAAGAATTTCCGTCTAGCAGAATGATATTGCGATATCATTATTATTAGGATTGATTGAGAACAGTTTAGCACCTGGAGAAAGAATTTATTGAATCCCAGTGCTCCTGCGATTTGGCGAAGGATCGCAAGACAAATTAACGAATCCCCTTCCTTTCAGTCATTGTACATTTTTATAATTGGTCCCAGGGAACTTATTAATTACGCGACGCATAGTTCATTCAGCTGTGAAAGAAGACGAGGCGCGTTCTTTGCGATGAATCGAGTGACAGCTGATTAATCAACAGGGAAATAAACTGTAGGTACTCGATGAACGAAGCATCGTGTTCGATGAGATAAAAATAAACCACTTGTAATACAGTTTTCAAGGAATATACAACTCAATTTTTATTTTGTTCTTTATTTGAAACAAATCTTTCTGCAAATAATCAATCAATAATCAGTATTCCTTTCAAAAGAATTTTTTCTCACACTAAGAAATGAATGTGTTAATTTCAAATTGATTTTCCAGAAACGATGAATAAATAAACGCTAAATTAAAAAATTTTCAATATGATTCTAATATGATCTATGAAAAAGTGGTCAGTAAACTTCGAATTTAATGTGGTTCACCGAATAGACATATTTAATAATATTCTAATTAAACACATGCTAAACAGACTGCGGATTTTTATACAAACAGCATATAAAACAGACGGATAATTTAGATATTTCTTTCTTTCTTTAATTATTTTATTGAATTAAAAATAACGCAATAGTATTTTTAAATTCTTGAAATGTTTTCGCTGTTTTGTGATGCATAAAATCCGCAGTCTATCTATAAATAATTAATTGAATACAATGGTTCGGCGTGCCTATCGTGTTCTAAGCAAGACAGAAAACGTTGTCATGCTGTGATTGCTGTCCTATTCACTATACTGCTGTGCAGAAACACGTTGTGTTTTGCAAATGCATAAAATCCGCAGGCTAGTAATTGTCGCACAACGAAACGACGCGTGCATTATTGTAACAGGCTGTTGAATTCTGGTTATATAACCGGATCCGACAACAGTACAACAATTTCACTACGTGATTATATAAACGTCATCGGGCGTGCGGCTGACAGATTATGTCTTGTCGACGACATCCCCCTATCGTGTCGCGTCGGCGGATCATAAAAACAGCCCTTTACGTCCTCCCGAACAAAAACGACTAATATCTGGAATTTGGAGCGTATCAAGATTCTCCCTAAAGGAGCAGACGGTCATCGGTGCACAATAACAACAACACTTCGAAAAATATCTAAAAAATAAATACAAGTCGAGAATTATAAAATTTTTGTTAGTGATAAAGTAAAGAATGAGATCAAAAATTAACCCGACAACAATTTTTTCGTCCTATTTGTTTTTATGGAATGTATCAATATGTTGCATGCGATCTGAAAGGAGATAATTTTATGTGAAAAGTAATGCTAAGACGTAACATGGAATTGTTTCGTAAGCCACAATTGTTTCCGATAAAAACAAGTTGGAAAATTTCACAGATAAGAAACCTTCGGTTGTTCATCGTATTTCAGAGTGTATTTGTAGCACAAATTGAAAGGGGATAATTTTATGTGAAAAGTGAAGCTAAAACGTAATATGGAACTTTTTCGTACGCCATTTCGTTATCGAGAAAAACGAGTTTGAAGAATTCGTTCGGTACACGTGTCGTTGAATAACTATCGGCTAATATGCCTACTAACAAACTTAAGTACATCCCTCTTACGAATGACGTCTTTAAGGCGTCATTCATGTTTTATATTTATCCGTATTTAACACGTTGAACGCCACGTCACCCATACTGGATGACGGCTATGTTTCCGCAGTCTTCGTAATTAAAGCAGGATTTTGAAGATAATGTATAGTAATTTTATTTGTAACACAACTACGACGAGTACAGACAATACAGGGTAACAATAAAGTATAAAGTAAACAAAAACAAACATTAAAAATATACTTATACTAATAATAAAATAAAATAATAAAATATAAAATATACTTATATTAAAAAATTATACTTATATTTAAATTTGTTTTTAAAATATTATAACATTTCATTAGTTACAATGGAATTTGTTAAAACATTGTAAACATAATTGGGGTGACTCTGAATACTCAGGACAATACGTTATGAACTTTTGTAAATTTTTGTTTGCTTCGTGGCGCCGGGAGAAACTCTGCCGTTTCATGCTGGCCGTTCAATGTGTTAAAGCATCTCCACTAACACAAGCCTTGTACAAAAGTATAATGATACAAATAAGTGTGTTCAATCAACCCAATGTCACATATTTGCGCAAATATAACCATATAGTATCCTATATGGTCAATCTTACCTATTATTTCTATACAACATATGTATACAAAAATAAAAATCATTGTTATTAAAGAACAAATTATAAATTATTTCTCTTTTTGCAAAGATGATTAACATTTACGATACACTTGAGACGTGTCAGTTCATGTAATGGTTTAATAATAAAAGAATTAGAGTTCATAGCTTCGTTTTTTGAATTAATATTGTAAAAACATCTGCATAAATAAGCACCAAATCTGTACCAGCATCTGCACCAAATTATTAGTTACGTTAAGTGATCACAGCGGAATCATTTCAGCTGTTATATCTCGAAATCTTCGATGCAAAATAATTTAACTAACATTGCAACTGATTCAATATATTACCAACTAAAGAAACACTGCGTGACATAAAAGTGTTATAAGCACAAATAAGATAACGGAAACCGTACGTCGTTAAAGTAATTAGTGCTCGGACTTCGAATTAGTTCCTGTTTCCGTCGATTCCTTTATAGAAACGTAAATACGTTGATAAATATTTACGTGTGTTGTGCACGTTCGCCGAAGTTTTCGCACACTAATAAGATATTTTGACTTTCAGTTTGAATGGATATTCGAACGATCGAATTTCTGATGTTTACCATAGAATTATGCCCGCGAGAGCGCGTCCGAGTGTGTCAGGTGACAATAAAGGCTCGTTAGAATCTTCCTATATAATATTCAACAGCTGTGCATTCTCTATTATGCGGCACATTCACAAGGCAGCGGGACAACGAAGATTCGCCTTGTTCACTGCTGAAGANCATGGAATTGTTTCGTAAGCCACAATTGTTTCCGATAAAAACAAGTTGGAAAATTTCACAGATAAGAAACCTTCGGTTGTTCATCGTATTTCAGAGTGTATTTGTAGCACAAATTGAAAGGGGATAATTTTATGTGAAAAGTGAAGCTAAAACGTAATATGGAACTTTTTCGTACGCCATTTCGTTATCGAGAAAAACGAGTTTGAAGAATTCGTTCGGTACACGTGTCGTTGAATAACTATCGGCTAATATGCCTACTAACAAACTTAAGTACATCCCTCTTACGAATGACGTCTTTAAGGCGTCATTCATGTTTTATATTTATCCGTATTTAACACGTTGAACGCCACGTCACCCATACTGGATGACGGCTATGTTTCCGCAGTCTTCGTAATTAAAGCAGGATTTTGAAGATAATGTATAGTAATTTTATTTGTAACACAACTACGACGAGTACAGACAATACAGGGTAACAATAAAGTATAAAGTAAACAAAAACAAACATTAAAAATATACTTATACTAATAATAAAATAAAATAATAAAATATAAAATATACTTATATTAAAAAATTATACTTATATTTAAATTTGTTTTTAAAATATTATAACATTTCATTAGTTACAATGGAATTTGTTAAAACATTGTAAACATAATTGGGGTGACTCTGAATACTCAGGACAATACGTTATGAACTTTTGTAAATTTTTGTTTGCTTCGTGGCGCCGGGAGAAACTCTGCCGTTTCATGCTGGCCGTTCAATGTGTTAAAGCATCTCCACTAACACAAGCCTTGTACAAAAGTATAATGATACAAATAAGTGTGTTCAATCAACCCAATGTCACATATTTGCGCAAATATAACCATATAGTATCCTATATGGTCAATCTTACCTATTATTTCTATACAACATATGTATACAAAAATAAAAATCATTGTTATTAAAGAACAAATTATAAATTATTTCTCTTTTTGCAAAGATGATTAACATTTACGATACACTTGAGACGTGTCAGTTCATGTAATGGTTTAATAATAAAAGAATTAGAGTTCATAGCTTCGTTTTTTGAATTAATATTGTAAAAACATCTGCATAAATAAGCACCAAATCTGTACCAGCATCTGCACCAAATTATTAGTTACGTTAAGTGATCACAGCGGAATCATTTCAGCTGTTATATCTCGAAATCTTCGATGCAAAATAATTTAACTAACATTGCAACTGATTCAATATATTACCAACTAAAGAAACACTGCGTGACATAAAAGTGTTATAAGCACAAATAAGATAACGGAAACCGTACGTCGTTAAAGTAATTAGTGCTCGGACTTCGAATTAGTTCCTGTTTCCGTCGATTCCTTTATAGAAACGTAAATACGTTGATAAATATTTACGTGTGTTGTGCACGTTCGCCGAAGTTTTCGCACACTAATAAGATATTTTGACTTTCAGTTTGAATGGATATTCGAACGATCGAATTTCTGATGTTTACCATAGAATTATGCCCGCGAGAGCGCGTCCGAGTGTGTCAGGTGACAATAAAGGCTCGTTAGAATCTTCCTATATAATATTCAACAGCTGTGCATTCTCTATTATGCGGCACATTCACAAGGCAGCGGGACAACGAAGATTCGCCTTGTTCACTGCTGAAGAATATTCGACATCGCGGCGCGATGTGTGCGTGGGACGAACACGCACACGGTGTGTTCGATATTTTTTTGTATTGCAATTTAATAACAATAACGTAACACTGACGAGTATACGATCGGTGATAAAGACCGCGCAACATATTACGCGA